GAGTTTTTGCATATATGTATACGATTTGCTTTTCTTGGAACACATAGTTATGATTCTTTATAGAGTATCCATCTCTCAATGTAAACTATGATGGTTTCTCAATTTTCACCACAATTATTATGTCATAAAAATCTGGATCATGGCCATACATGTTGACATATTCTTCATGTACAGTTGGCTGAATCTCCATCACAGTAAATAAATAAAGTGTTGTTATAGCTGGCCGAGATTGTATATCAGCCAATTTATTCTGAACTCCCTTTTTGTATTTGATGACCAAGTTAAATTATTGAAGGTAGGTCATCCATTTTATGTAACGAGCTTGTTGTATTTTAGACTGTGTTTGAAGGTATTAAAGGGGTTGATGATCAGTGTAAACTACTGTTTCTTTACCCAAAGGATACACACTCTAATGTTTTATGGCTCGATGTAGGGCAAACATCTCTTCATCATAAGTTGGATAGTTCTTTTGAGACCCTTGAAATAATTCGGTACATTAAGTAATAACTCTTCCTTCTTGTATCAGAACAACACCTATTGCATATCTAGATGCATCAGCCTCAAGTTCAAAAGGCTTTTGTAGATTTGGTAGAACTAAAATATCTTCCCTTTTAGAAGCTGAAACGAGTCCTCATGTTTCTTAGTCCACTCAAACCATCAATTTGCCTTTGTCAGTTCATGTAAAGAAACAACTATCATAGAGAAATTATGAATAAATTTTTTAATATACTGACAAACTCCCATAAAATTTGAACTTCAGTGATATTTATTGACCGAAGCCACTCTCTAATAGCCTTCACTTTTTCTGGGTCAATTTTCAATTCGTCATTACCCACAATAAATCCAAGGTATAGCAATGATCTCTGTCCAAACTCACACTTCATTTTATTAAGGCGGAGTTCATATTTTTGTAGCAATTTGAATATCTTTTTTAAATGATCTAAGTGTTCCTACCAAGTATGGCTGTAGATGAGAATGTCATCAAGATAAACAATGAAAAATTGATCAATGAAAGGTTGTAAGACATCATTCATAAATCGCATAAATGTAGCATGAGCATTACAAAGTACAGGTGGCATGACTAACCGCTCAAGCAAACCTTGTCTTGTCTTAAAAACCATCTTCCAGGAATCTTCTTCTCGGATTTGTACTTGATGGTAACCATATTTTAAATCTAACTTTATAAAATAATAGGCATGCTTCAATTGATCTAGAAGATCATCTATTCTGGGAAGAGAGTATTGATTCTTAACTGTGATTTTGTTTAAGGCACAGTAGTCAATACACATAGGCCAACCACCATCATTTTTAAGAATAAGAACCATTGATGATCTACATGGTAAATTACTTGGTTTTATAACACCACTCTCAAGCAAATCAGACACCTGAATGTAGCATGAGCATTAAAAAGTCCAGGTGGCACGACTAGCCGCTCAAGCAAACCTTGTATTGTCTTAAAAACCATCTTCCAAGAATCTTCTTCTCGGATTCGTACTTGATGGTAACCATATTTTAAATCAAACTTTATAAAATAATAGGCATGCTTCAATTGATCTAGAAGATCATCTATTCTGGGAAGAGAGTATTGATTCTTAACTGTGATTTTGTTTAAGGCACAGTAGTCAATACACATAGGCCAACCACCATCATTTTTAGGAACAAGAACCATTGATGATCCACATGGTGAATTACTTGGTTTTATAACACCACTCTCAAGCAAATCAAACACCTGCTTCTTTATTTCTTCATTCTCTACTACAGAGTACCATTACATACTTAAATTTAGAAGTGATGAAATTGAGATGAGTTGAATTTCGTGTTCTACTTCTCGCTTTAGTGGTAAAACTCGCTCTTCAAAAAATAGGTCAAGAAATTCTTCGTATAACTTTGTTATCTCATTTTTCTCTTT